AGAGATTTATGGTCCAGATTTCAGGAGCTGACTGGAAAACTGACTGTAATGATGGAAGGAGACTCAGACCTGATTGAGTCTCACACTCCTTCACATAGGAAAACAGATCCAACATAAAGTCAAGACGATCTTTGATGGCATCACCATCATTACCCGTTTTTTCATTTTGAAAACTAAATGTTTCAAATTTGCAGACAGATGCCAACATGTCCAATATTTTCTCTCCTGTCTGCTGTTCCCTCTCTGCTGCTGCACAGAACAGATTAACCAAGAACACAGTTTGATCATCAGGATCACAGCTGTGACCCTCACCATCATCCAAACTGGAACAACAAGGAGGAAACATTTAGCGAAGATTTGATCTGAGCTGCATTAAAACAACCACACTACTGATAGAATCCATCTTTTACACATCTGTCCTCAATGTGAGGAAATTAAAAGCTAAAAAACTGTTTGATCAGAGCAGATGAACATTGTTTTTAGGCATATACAGGATAACAGTACAAATACGACTCATTAAAACAGAGTGAAATAAAATGAATGTACCTGAGGTGTGAGATAAAAGGCAGACACTGCAGGAAACTCCTCACTTCACTCTCTTCATGTGAGCAGTCTGTCAGCTTCACTGGTTTCTTCTCTGGTTGGAGTTTCATCACTTCCACGAAGTCAGAGGTCTTTCTGTTTGAGAGGTTTATAAACCAGACTTCGGGAGCTGACTGGAAAACTGACTGTAATGATGGAAGGAGACTCAGTCCTGCTTTAAACTCTCTGTCCTTCATCTGGGAGTACAGATCCAACAGGAAGTCACTTCTATCTTTGTCGTCAGCATGTATGTCATCAAAAGGGAATGTTTTATATCTGCAGACTGATGCAAAACATTCGAGCATCTTCTCTCCTGTCTGCTGTTCTCTCTCTGCTGCTGCACAGAACAGATTCACTAAGAACCTGGATTGTTTATCAGGATCATAACTGGAATCATCCCAGTCATCCAAATTGAAGCTAAAAAAATAAAGAAACATTTATGATTTTATCAACTTATGAGGAAAAAAACTCCACACTCTATTGATGGACTCCATCTTGTCTGTGATGGGGTGCGAATGCTAGCTGCGTTTTCAGTACTTTGACGCAGACTTTTATCTAGAGGTGGTTGCTTCAAGTTGAAGAGAGTGATGTTGAAGAAAGACATAGAAGCTGTTGTAGCGAACCCATGTTGGAATAATTTAAATAGAGTTACAATTTGTCTGTGAATTATGTTTAAAAACAGAAAAAAATTGACACATAAAACGTCTTTATACTGTGCAGCCACCTGGTGAACAACAATAATAATTACCATGTATAAATAGAAATAGGTAGACGGCCCCATAATCCTCTACAACGCAACTTCAAATTTCATTTATACACAACTAAAAGAATTGCAATTGGAACATAGTTAATGAAAGTAATAATAAAACAGCAATCTATATACAGTAATAACACCATAGCAAAACAAATATTGGAAATTAAAACTTGTGTCAATGTTTATCTTATGTAATTATTAATAATCCTGACTTAATAATTTGTTATTAATTACCTTATTAAAAAAATTAGAATGTCTTTAGTTAAATAGGGCCACCATCCATAAACTGGAACCATAATTCAGAACCACTGGCAGAAAAAAACTTTTCACACAAACCACAATAATCACTGACAGTCTTATTTCAAATTACGTCAGGGAATTTATTAACAAAAAAGCCCAACTTTGCAGCTGAATTATTGAAATAACTTCTTTCTCCAACTACAAACAAGCAATCTAGCTACTGATGAAAACTCTGGCCTGTATCTTGACTTGAGGATCCCACATACTGCAAACTTCGCACTCACGGTTGAGATTTCACAGTCGAGTGTTCAGATTGATTACATTCCTCATGACAAATGCCTTAATTTTCACAATCTAAATGGGTACTTGCAAGTTTTATGAGCTAGATGGGTGTGAAGTCCCATTTCTTCTCCACCAAGGCACTGTGGCCTTTATATTATATATTATATTGGCCTCAAAGTAAATAGTGTTGACCCCCAGAAAAATAAAATATTCCTTTAAAAAAAGATAAATCGTCATAACTCTTTAAAATAATAACTAGACTACAGCCAGTACTGGGTGTGTTCATCTAACAGGTGTATCAATAATGGGCTTGTCATTAAAAGCTATTAGATGCTTTAAAAAATTAGAGATTGAAAAGTTCAAGTTAAAACAACATGAAGTAAAATGACTGTACCTGAGCTGTGAGATAAAAGGCAGACACTGCAGAAAACTCCTCACTTCACTCTCTTCATGTGAGCAGTCTGTCAGCTTCACTCGTTTCTTCACTGCTTGGAGTTTCATCACTTCCATAAAGTCAGAGGTCTTTCTCTCTGAGAGCTTTATGGTCCAGAGTTCAGGAGCCGACTGGAAAACTGACTGTAATGATGGAAGGAGACTCAGACCTGTTTTAGTCTCTCTGTCCTTCACCTGCATGTACAGATCCAGCAGGAAATCAACCGGATATTTATCACCAGCTTTAAAAGGGAATGTTTTATATCTGCAGAGTGGTGCCAACATGTCAACCATCTTCTCTCCTGTCTGCTGTTCTCTCTCTGCTGCTTCACAGAACAGATTCACTAAGAATCTTTTTTGTTCATGAAGATCTGAGCTCCCAGATGCAATCCTGTAACAAGAAGGAAACGATTAGTGATGATTTGATCTGAGCTGCATTGTTGTCCGTTTGTCTTATTTCAAGTGTATTAAGACAGATGCAATACAAACTAGACCAAAATACTTGGTAAGATATTTTGTTTTTACAGTGAATTAATATTAACTCCATATTTCTCTGTTGTGATTATGCTTCTGTGAGATGCTTCATTTATCTTTTTGACATATTGGGTTGTTTAGTTTATCTCTGGTCTTTCCAAAAAGCTTTGTCTTCTTCTGTTGTATTGGAAGTTGCTAAATCTTGCTGACATGGATAATTTGATCCAGCAGTTGACTTACCTGGGTCCGTGTATTCTGCTTGACTTGAGCTTCAGCACTTTGAAGAGTATGATGTTGGCTCTCTGCAATGGGAGGACACTCAAGCCTGTTTTAAGCTCATAAGAGAACAACTCCAGCAGAAATTCAGACCATTTCTGTTTAAGAGGTGCTTCTTTATAAATGTATATTGATGCCAACATATCCAGCGTCTTCATTTCCTTTTGTTTATCTTTTTCCGCTGCTGCGCAGAACAAACTCCGGAGAAACCGGATTTCTTCAGAAGCTTCCGATACCCAAGGCTCAAAGCTAAACAATTCACAAAAAATGCTTGTTTTTAATGGTTAAACTAATTATATTAAAATGAAGAATTACTGAAAATAAGCCAGATTATATAAAGACGTTTGAAAACTAAATGATTGTACCTGAGCTGTGAGAAAAAAGGCAGACACTCTAGGAAAGTCTTCACTTCTCTCTCTTCATGTGAGCAGCCTTTCAAAACCACTTGTTTCTTCTCTGATTGGATTATCAGTTCCCTCAGCATTAAGGTATTTCTCTCTGAGAGGTCAGTTATCCAGACATTAGCAACAGACTGGAAAACAGACTTTAACAAAGGAAACAGACTCAAGCCTGTTTTCGTCTCACAGTCCATCACCTGACTGTACAAACTCAACAGGAAGGCCTTCTGGGCTTGCTCGTTCATATCTGTGTCGCTCACAGGTATTATTTTAAACGTGCAGACTGATGCTAACAGGTCCAGCATCTTCTCTCCTGTCTGCTGTTCTCTCTCTGCTGCTGCACAGTACAGAGTCACCAAGAAGCTGGTTTGCTCATGAAGTTTTGAGCTCTCAGGAACAAATCTAGAGCAAGAGGAAGAAAAAAATTTACAACCAACTTTAATATTTAACCGTCATAACATATAGTCTTATTATTAAAAACTATCCTGTTCAGATAGAAATTGAAATACAGTTGATGTACCTGAACTTGGATATATAAGGCAAACACATTAGGAGGTTCCTCACTTCACGCTCTTCATATGACCAGCCCGTCACCTTCACTTGTTTCTTCTCTGTTTGGACTTTCAACACTTCCAGGAGGATGGAGGTCTTTATCTTTGAAAGGTCTAAAGTCCAGATTTCAGGAGCTGACTGGAAAACTGACTCTATTGATGGAAGGAGACTTAGGCCTGTTTCAGTCTCACAGTCCTTCATCTGGGAGTACAGATCCAGCAGGAAGTTACGCCTACATGTTTCATCAATGAATCTGCGATTGAATGGAAAATGCTTGTATCTGCAGACTGATCCTAACAGCTCCAGTATTTTCTCTCCTGTCTGCTTTTCTCTCTCGGCTGCAGCACAGAAAAGCCTGGTTAAGAATCTGGTTTGCTCAGCAGAGCTTGACCAAAGAGGAACCACACTGCAACAACAAAAAGAATAAAAATATTTATACACACATCCATCTCTGGGAGACATAACTCCACACAACTGTATCTCAAAAGCAGTAATTAATCATAAATAAAATATGTAATCTTAAATTTATTTTACCATTTAGCCAATCAATCCCTATTGCCTTTTTTAATTTTAGCACATTTGCTTCACTTTGAGGTAGAACATTTAGTAGAAAAAGCAAAAATAAATAAATATTATAGTGACTTTTTTGCCCATAACTCATTGGTAATATTGAAACTGTCTTAAAGTGTGATATTATATAATATATAAGATCAGTAATATAGGACTCATTTACCTGAGTTGTGAGATATAAGGCAGACACTGTAGGAAACTCCTTACTTCAGCCTCTTCATGTGACCAGCCAGTCAGATTAACTTGTTTCTTCCCTGACTGAAGTTTTAGAACATCCAGTAGCATGGAGGCCTTCGTCTTTGAGAGGCAAACAAACCATATTGCAGGATCTGCTGACTGGAGGACTGACAGGAATGATGTCAGGCCTGTTTCAGTCTTAGAGGAGTACAGGTCCAGCAGGAAATCACACCATTTCCACTGGAGTGGAGTTCCTTTATATGTGCAAACTGATAACAGATCCAGCATATTTACTCCTGTCTGCTCTTTCATTTCTGCTGCAGCACGGATCAACATTTCCAAGAACCAGATGCTCTCTGATGACTCAGATAGTCCAGTCACAAAACTGATAAAAGACAAAACAAAAGTTAAGAAAAAAAACTGCAAACCAAAAGAGAAAGTGTTAAAGATTCAAATGGGAAAGTACCTGAGCTTTGAGAGATGAGGCAGACACTGAAGCAAGTTTCTCATTTCACTCTCGTCATGTGACCATCCTGTCAGCTGCACTTTCTTTTTCTCTGATTGAAGTTTGAGCATTTCCAGGAGGGTGGAGGCCTTTCTCTCTGAGAGGTCTATGAGCCAGTCTGCAGGAGTTGACTGGAAAACTGGCCGTAGAGTTGGAAAGTCAGTGGAAAGCCCTTTGCTACTTGCATGTTGATGTAAATCAACAAGAGTATTCACCAAGTCCGTTTTAATCTGACAAATTGTCACGAGCTCAGGCATTACAGTATGAAACTTTTGTTTGCTATGCAGTGCTGTTGTGAAGCATAAATCCAGGAACATGTTCTTCTGATCCTTTTCCATTGTGTTGTTGCATTCTTCCTGGTTCATTGAACCTGCAGATCTGTAGGTCATCCTGAAGGTTCATAAAGTAAACATCTTGATTTAGTTTAGAGCAGTCCTTTATCTGCAGTCCTGCACATACAGAACTGCAGATATGAATTATCTCATGCTATAATCTGGTAAAGAGCATTAAATGGTGACATTTATGTATGAGCTGCAAAAACAATGTACATTGTGAGAACTACATGGGACTTTTGGTTTGACAAGCCATCATAGTCCTTCAAAAAGCTATTGGTCGTCCGGTAAACCCTAGGTATTCAAAGGGGGTTAGGGACCACAACCATCCATACACAGATTTAAAACAAAGCTATACAAAGTGCAGAGTTACACAGAAACACTCGAACAGGTCTACACAGCATATCTCCACAAAACATATGGGCGGTCCAAGCAATCAATGCAAAGAAAAAATAATGGCGCTCCTACATTGTATGCTTTGAAAATGTCAGCCAATAAGGATTCATGTTGGATCGTGGTTAGGGATTTTAGCTTTCCAACTTACATTTCATTTAGGGTCAGATACCCCTGAAAGGGTGACTATAATTCAGCCTATATAGTCATGAGCCAAGCATGTTTGGCGTGTACAGTGTTCTCTGAAAATGACCCCTAAGACAGGGATCATATAAATGTCGATACAGGTGAACCTGCTCTGCAGGAGCACCTTCCAAATTTGTTCAGTTTGAGAGAAAGATGGTGCTCACAACAAAAAGTTGGAGGTGCACTACCGGGCACTGTGGCAGTCCACAACACCAACGCACAGCGGGCTATGGCGCCCAGTTCAATGCATCATCTATAAACCTTGCTTAACCCATCTTTGTTATCATGGTTACTGGTAGATAAAAACCTATTTAAAATACAGGTAAGATGCAAGTAAATTCTGGTGGCCAGTTAGGCTTATTACATACAGAAAACCTTGAGCTTGTCAGATGTACTAGACGAGTGGCATCACAGTGAAGGGTTTGCTTATCCTACAGTGATAATGAAGCTTGTCTGAAGCGTTCTGAAAATGGTTTGTATTTTTTGTTTTTTACATGCCAGATGAATTAAGAAACAATGCCCATCAAACCTCCACAATAAGACTTTTTCACATTCAATTCAATTTTGACTTTTTTTACACAAACTCCCAGGACAACAAAGTATTGTTAAACTAGGCCTGCTTCTGTCAAAAACAGCTAAAACAAATACAATTTAATGGGGAAAGCAATCTCTATGTGCTGCTATTAATATGGGACAGGAAGTAAACAAATGTAGACATATATCCAGGTCTCGATTGTGTTGTAGCGACACCACAGCAGCTGTCTTATTTCCAGTATCTAACTAAATCTGCCTGAACTGAGACATACATGCTTTGAACTGGAATTATGGCTCACATGTTAAACCACCATTCATCAAAACTTTGAAATATAAAATCAACATATACAAAACATTTCTAAATATGTTTTAGAAAAAAGCAAATGAACTGACCTGAGAGAGCTGATGCACGGCAAAGTCTCTAAAAGAGAGTCGCGCAAAATCGGGCAGAGTGGATCTTTTCTGTCCCCGTAGAGGCAAACATTCACCTTTGTTGCAATCGTCTGCAAAACTTTCACAGCTCTGTCAAACAGCTTGTTTTTACCCACAACTGGGAGGTATAACAGGTTCCTACTGAGACCCAGTAAGGTTTGGTAATCCATCTGTTCTTCACTGAGAAGAAAAACCTTCCACAGCTGCTGTTTGAGGGTATCGTACCTATCATTTAAAGGCAAATACATGATGAGGTTTATTTAAAGTCATTAGTCATAAAGTATGCTAGTAAGTATTACAAAATGTATCCATTCATACCATTCAACATTTTGAAAGCATCCAAACAGATGTCTCATTCCTTGTGCAGTGACTGTCACATCCTGAAGGTTCAGACTTATTTTTCTGTCCTTTGATTGAGTGACCACATAGGCCACAGCACAACAGGAATACAAGTCCAGATTCGCTCTGCTGAGGTCAAGATGATAGTCCAGTTTGTCCAAAAAGGAAATGCAGACTTCAGAGCTCTGCGACTCAAACAAACACTGGTATACGAATAGTGTGTCCACATGAAGCTCACTGATATTAGCGACAGCCTGATGGAAAAATATGTCAATCATCTCTTTGAAAAACCATCCAGATGTTTCCTGGAGCTCTTCAGTTGGAATCAGACAGCTCATCAAACGTGGACTCTTCTCATTCAACAAACGGCACATGAACGGGATCAGATGCTTCATGTGTTTCTTCTCCTCGGTGAGGCACTGCTGGAAAACCTCCCTGATCTTATCAGGATTCTTCAGAAGCCACAGAGCTGCAAAAAAGTCTTGCATCAAGTAATGGAGAAAAGCATAGACAGTTATGGTTTCAGTAGGAGCAACTTTGACATCAAGTGTTTTCAGGAAGGAAAGGACACAGCCATCTTCACAGGAAAAATCTTCCAGGTTCACAGTTTTTCTTTCAGTTGCATTAAAAGCAGCTTCAGCCAAAGACAGGATTCCATTTCTCTTCGTTTTGATGAACTGATTGAGATTCCTGATCCTGGTTTTGTTGCTGTTCATCTGGAGACCAAACCGAACAATATTGATGTATATTTCAGTCATAGTTCTGGGTTGCAGAGATTCTTTTGATGGAAAGCTGGCAGCCACCATCAGTGCGTACATTGGAATATGACAAAGAGTCAACAGCTCCATATTTCTAAGAACCTTTCTGTGATTTTCACCCAGAGTTGAAAACAAATAAGTTTTTATTGTTTCCTCACTGAAGCCTTTCACCTCCACTCTGAGCCAGTCTTCAGGACAGAGGTCCTTCCCATCTTCTGGTCTGCAGGTAATGATGATTTTAGCATCAGGTAAGAGATCTTTGTCTACAAGATTCTTCACAATTGATGAAGAGAAATCTGTGACTCCATCTAAAATGATAGTAACATTATCAGAGTTGCACTTTATGTCCTGTAAGACTTCATCTTTGCCCTTATCTGGTTCACTGCATGCAATGAAAAGAAGATCCTCCAAATTCATGTTAGGTGGGATGTTGGTTAATTCCCTCATATCAAAGTGAAACATGTAATCCAGCTCCTTGTTGTCTCTTTCTGACCACAGTCTCAATATTTCATGACTCAGAGCCGTCTTTCCAATACCAGGTTTCCCAAACAGGAGGATGTTTTTATCTGTTTTCAGCAGGTCACTGGGGGAGATTTCAGGTTTGCGCTTTGGACTGCAAGTCCTTAACTTTTTAGGACGGCACATCTCTCTTTTAAATCTCTTTATTTTTGTTGGAAAATTCTTCCCTTGAATATCTAATGTAAGTGAAGCGTACAGCAGTTCAGGTTTCTTGTTTTCAGCAAAAAGATTTTCACTTCTCTTCCAAAAGTCCTTTGATACTTTTTCTGCTTTTGATTTCAATTTTGCTTGGTATCTGTAGCATGGCCTTGATTCTGAGATTAAAAAATAAAAAGAAGAAACATTCATATTGTAGATGGTAGCATTTATATCACAAATGACACCAAGGAATCGATACAAAGATCAAATATGAAAAGCGTGAAATAATAATTACCCTGTGTGTAGTTGTGATCAATTTCTGGATCTTCTGTGAAGGAAAAGCAGCTGATCCAGTGGTGCAGGTCAAACTTTGTAGCCTCAGTTGAAGCTTCATGACTGTTCTTAAAGAGAGGATCTGGTCTCTCTAAGGTTCTCCTCCTCGTCTGGTCAATAATCCTTAGAAACCCGTAGCAGGCTGCTTCACCTTTTCTAGTGACTGAGTCCAGTATTGCTCTGGTTCTATCATAGTCATCTTTCTCTGCCTTTATCGTGTTGACCTCTTCATCAGTGAAAACTTCTTGCTGATGCAAGTTTTCAAGAATCACTGACAGATTCCTCAGTTCTCCAACTAGGTGAACTCTGGCATTGGCGATATAATCTTTCGCAGACTGTTTTGAACAAGCCATGATACTTGACCTCTCTTCTGCAAATAAACCAGATGTAGAACGTAGAAACATTTATGTATGTTGGGTATGTAATTTAGAACTTACCCAACGTAATTTGTACATTAGGAAATGTAAAACTTACCTTTAAGGTCTACATTAAGGGTAAGCTGCCCATAAGGTCTCAAATGATGATGAACCTTCCAACACTGAGAAAACAAGAAAATAAACAACTAAATGCAAAGCATCCAGTAAGATCAGCATTTACTAGTAGAATTTATTTTTGCATGTTTTTTAACAAATCTTAAACAGCACCTGTTCTGACCGTCAACACATGATATTCGTTGGTGAAAACAGGCCTGGACTACACGGTGTAATAAAGGAGTGATTTTTCTCATTTTCTCTGGACCTAGAGACAAACGGATTTGAATCTCAATGAAACATTGTGGAGGTTCTTGCATATATGCTACATTATAAACCACAATAGAAAAAGAATAAGTTAATGTTCTCATTGAGCACAGGACTGTTGGGTGTTACAGTGAGGCAGAGAAGCAACGTCAGAGGTGTGGCCATTTTTTTTACTGTGTCTAAGGGTAGAAAAATATCCATGATTTCTGTAAGTTAATATCGACTTTAACTGCTAATATAATAGCAAATATCACATTTCACCGAATTTGTATCTCTAGTTTAAACAGATTAAAGTATTAAAGTTGTCTGACAGACGAGGTATAACTGTAAACACAAACCACTGCTAATAATATGAATTTTTGATACCTGTTTAACCCTTTCAATAAGCTGGTACATCCTGTACAGGTTACCAATACATCATGGGGCAACAGAGACACAGAAACACACCTAAGGACAACTGTGGTCAACATGCAACATGAAGCCAGAGTTCCCAAAGAGTAAACATACATGGGGGAAAAAAATATGCAAACTCCACAGCAAGAAATTAATAAATAAACCCTTTTGGAGGAAGGCAACAGTCCTTTCTACTTACCCTGAATATTTTCTTTCTGCCATGAACGAAACTCATCAGGTGTCTATATGGTACCTTTAACAAAAATGAAGTTATTATAAAGTTAGTCTACTGTTAGACTGAAATTGCATCTATGAAGTTTATTGTCGTCTAACTAAACAAACTTAACTTTCACTTTGACACACTAATGTTTTCATTAGATCAACCAAACTATTCGCATAAACCCGTGAAGTTATTCAAATTGTAACATTTGCTGAAGCTACTTGGATAGCAACATCACAGTATAGCTAGGTAAGCTAACATCAAGCAAACTTTAAACTCCTGAAAACACTCCATGTTTAAAGATTTCTGTTTACCTTTCACAGAAGATGAAACGACTCCCGTTAACATCACAATAAACACCGTTCCTACCTTTACACGGAAGTTCTGCAGTTATCATTAAAGTTAGTTAATAACATGAGAATCTGGTGTTTTGAAAATGACGTAGAAAGTCGACCGGAAGTAGAAAAACCTCACCTGAACCTCCTTCAAGACGCACAGAAATTAATTAGTCTTTTCAGGAAAGCGTTTCTATTGGGCTTAAACAACACAAACATTAAAGATATTTATCCAAGTAAAAAAAAAAACACCATCTTCCATTGTGTCCTATCAGACCGAAAATACTCGTCTATTTTCAATAAAATGTGAAAACAAGAACATCTAAATAGTTTCCGGCTCGGCTTTAACTAAACTATTCAGTAAAAACGGGAAATTATAACCTGTGGATACGGTTTAGTCTTACCAATGTGACCTCTTTATTTTCTCTTTGCGTGTTTCGTTCTGACAACATTGTGTTGAACTTTTACTTTCACTTTGAAGGAGACAAAACTCTTAAAATCCACTAGATGACA